AATTCACACAGAAATGACAGCCACGGTCACACAGTGAGAGAGGCTTCAGCACAGGCACCTGGGTTAGGAAAAATAAAGGTTCTCAGCTCCTTGTATCACCATAACTTGGGCTAGAAACGCTGTGACTTGGGCTAGAAACCTTCATATCAGCACAAACTGGAATGCACCGATCTCTCTAATCCCAGCGTTTCAGGTACTGGGCTCCTGGGGGAAGCCTCCGGGTGCTGAAGTGTTTATCTGCATATCCCCTGCGATGCCCAGGCACCACAGCATGCAACCACCCTGCTTTGAAATGCAGACATCACTAATCCCTCTCTTAAGGCAAGCAATAAGACAAGCTCAAAAGGCCAAATACAAACCAAACAGAAGCAGGAAACTCCATATGGGAAAAGAAAAAAAAAGGGCTTGAAGTGACCAGCAGATTCAACTTTAAAAGGTTCTTTTCCCCTCCCCCCTCCCCAAAATTGCCCAAATGATTCATTTTAAGCTCCAAGAATTTTTAAGACAACGTTCATTTCCTGGGCTGCACCTCCCTCCCCAGCCAGGGCAGCTTTAAGGCAGTTTTTTTGCTGCATTTCAGCCTGTTGCATTGATTACTTCCAGGTCAGGGGATGCAGCTGACAGAGCTCAACTTTATTCCACTTCAAGGACCTACAGACTCCAAGTTGAAACGACTGCTCTGTAAGAACAGAGAGTCAGAACAGTGTCTCTGTGACAACCTCCAGTCTCCAAATTCAGAAACTACTTGACTTAAGAAACGAAGAGGTAATCAAATAAAAAAATATAGCCTACAACTGCTGGGGACATTCACAGAAGGGTTCTTTCCACACAGACCAAAACTCCACAGCCTCAGTCTTCTCCCTACATAACCTAACCCTGCTAAATCCATCCTGCAAAGACCCAAGACCAGAATGTACATTCAACAGTTAAGCACCAATCAGGGATTTGTTTTCAGTCTGTTATATTCCTTTCTGTCATTGACAAGACACTTTTCAGATCTAAAGTCAGAGATGAACCCAAGTGAAATGCAGCTAAATAAGCAAAACTGTTTTCTAGTAGTGCAAAAGACTAAGATTAAAACAATTCCCACCCCACATCAAGAAGAAAATAAATTGCCCACAACAGGGAATGGGGTTTCTCCCTCAGGCTACACAGTGCACTGACCAAAACAAAGAACATTCTGGGGTGGGAATTTTGAAACTTCTGTCCAAGCTGCCTCAGTTTGCTTCATTACATATTTGCTGCAACAAAAACTAGGATCGACCTTGCTGTTTCAGAGCTTCCAAAGTCTTGCCAGCATCTGCCTTCCTGGTTTGGCCAGAGGACCCAGCCCGTGCAGAACCTTTCCTGTCAAAGCACTGCTGGAAACAATACCTCTTACAGAAGTCTGAGGTTCCACACATAGGAAAGCTTCACCAAAGAAATCCCAGGACCAGTGAAAACCAAATACAAGCCAGTATATACCGGTATCAAATCAGATTTGCTTTATAAATGGCTTTTGGGGGCAACCTGGAAGCCCTAACCCAGGTTGCCCGAACTTGCACTCAGCTCCTTCAAGGCAACCCACAAGACAGAGACAGGCAAGATAACAATCTGCTGCATGCTCCACAATGAGAGAAGAAATTGCTCCCAACAAATCTTAAACTCCAGAGAACTTTGCAGCAGAACTGATTTGCAACCCAAACTCAAAGGGATGTCCTAGCACCATGTCTGCTTCCATTGTACCTGCTACCAGCACCTTCCCTGTCTAAGCAGAAGGTGATTAACAGCTGGAAATATCTGATTCCTACAGACTCCAAATCCAAGCCTCAAAAGGTAAGGACACCATGTAAACTGGATACAACTTGCCAGGAAGAATTCTTTGCTAAGGAGAAGTGACGAGGGAATCTCCTGGGAGAAACAGATTTACACTGAGGATTACTATTCCTCTATTACACCCAGACACAAAAAACCCACACTTCTCTCAAACACAATACCCATCTAGGTTTAGTTTAGCTGCAATCCTGACAGACTCCCCAGGGAAGCAGCAAATTCTTCTGAGAAAATCTTCACCTAGCCTGTTACAGGAAAGAGGATCAGCCAGGACACTCGTGGGGATGAATTACTCTGAGAGGCACTGGCGAGTTCAAGTCAGCAGCAGCAGCCTCCCCAAAACACTGCCAGTACAGACTTCAGAAAGGGAACAACAAACCAGGAAACCCTTGAGCTAGAACTGCCCACAGCACAAGCAGAAATGAAAAACCAGACATTTTGCTACTCACTTAGAAGCACACAGAGCATTAGAGAAATCAGTAACTTCTGATTTCTGACTCTGCTGCTGTTAGAAGTCTGAATAAGGGAACATCATCAGGAGAAAGTTTAGTTAGTGACACAAAAAGTCATTATCACTAAGATACTTTGAGGACCTCCACCCAGAACAATCAACATGACATTTCTCAAGCAGATCCTAACAAAGCCACAGGAGCTGAATAACTTGACAATGTCATCATCTAGGAGATCACCACCTCCTGAAATGGAATGGTGATAGGATCAGCCCAAGAAATATTCCCCCCCTTTATTGCTCAGAATTCCAGCATTAAAGCTGATGTACAATATTTATGTGTAAAAGGCATTGGGTACATACATTTAACACTTCCTAAGAACCTAAAAAGCAGCAACCTCCTTTTCCTGCTGGAGCTGATCTCTGTTTAATTAAAAATGATGCATGGCACAATTTGCCCCGATTCCAAGATATCCACTGTGCCCACTGAGGCTTGGCAAAGGGCTCAGAACTCCATAAAAATTGGAGGTCCACAAACTAACTATGCTTGTGTAAGTCATATATAATGGCAAAAGAGGGATCTAGGAATCCTCCTGAGTAGGATAAAACTTCCTACAACACACAGACTGAGCAATATAAGGAAGATAAAAAGAAATGGATAGCACCTTTCCATTAACTCTTGTTTCTAAGTGTCCCCAGGCCAAACTTTGTGCAAGAGATTCATCACTGAAACAAAGAGTTGGCTTCCACACACCTCAGAGGTCCTCCCTTCAAACTATTCCACAGAATCACTGCCTGATGCATTTCTCAATTTACAGACACGGGTGCTGGTTGTGTCCTACAAGGTCCTAACAAGGAGACAAGGAATTATGAAACTTGTGCAAGAATATGTGTGAGTTTCTGCAGGGGGCCTCCTTTTTTTAAAATTTTTGCCTACCAAGGAAGAAAAGGCCCAAAAATACACCAGGTTTGGGCAAGATAAAGACTGCTGAGCTTCTTAAATGCAAATTATTTGGTGCTAAAGCCAGGAAAACCAGACTGTGAATCTATTTAGAACAGAAATGAGCTTTACAGTCAGCCGGTTCTAAAAGCTGAAGCCCTTTTTTGCACCCTGGATTTCTCTCCAGCAAACCTCTAAAGCACCTGATCAGAAACTGGTGGACACTTCAAACTTTTACAGTGGATCATCACATTCCCTCCTTCCTAGGCCCTTCAGAGCAGAGATAGTTACCTTTTCTCAAACTGCTTGGGAAAAGGAAAAACTTGAAAGGGGCCAAATACATTTAACCACAAGGTCTAAAACAAACTCCCACTTGGTGCTGAGAAGGAGCCACTTCTGCTAAGCAGAGCAGCTAATTCCTATAATCTGAGTCAGAGGGCGCTGATTGGTAGGATTCATCAAGGCTTTATCAACAATGCCACGGAACAGGACTTCCCACCGTTCAGAGCTGGAGCAATTTCTTCAATTACTTCAGTGGCTTCACTTTTCCTACATTCTTTGCCAGAAGATGGGTCACATGGAAGATCTTGTGGAGAGGCAGAGTGGAAAGAAACATGCTATTTAAAAAGGATTTTTTCCCCAGGCCTCAGAACAAATTAAATCTTTGTAATCAGGGTCCAAAAGGAAAAAAAAAAAAGAAAAAAAAAAAAAGGAAAAAGAAAGAGAAAAGAAACAACCTACAACTACTCCCATTAGGTGGTCAGAACTAGAATCACTTTGTGTTTCGGGTGACAATTTGTACCCACAATCCAAAGGAATTATTTCAAGGGGCTCACAACAAAGCTGTTCTCATTGCTGAGAGCAAAAATAACTTTGCTACATACACAGCTCGCTCTCCTCAGACCAATCCAACTGCAGCTTAGAAAACTGACTTAGCCAGTGGCCAAATAAAAAAATAAAAGCTCACTCACTTCCTACTGCTTACCATGGAAGTAACCAGCAAAATCAGAACTCAGCAGCTCAAAACTCTTCCTCCGAGTCAGAGGCACAGCTCAACTTGTGCAAACTCACCTAAATTTTTAACCCTTCTCCGTTTTCTTGATGAAGTTTTAATCCAAAAGTTAAAAACTATCCTGGTCCAAAACCTGCTGGAACTGATCTCATACCCAACTGTTCACTGTACATACAACAAACAGATTTAGAATGCAAAAGAAAATATAATTCTCCATCTGTCAAGGAAGGAGCTCTCTGTGACTGATCTTCCTCACTCCAGGTACTAATAAACTTTCTTCTTCACCAACTGTTCAGTCAGACTGGACCAAAGCAGCTTAAATCAGCAGTATAAGGATCCAACAACACAGAGAGGGCACCGTGCTGCCAGTGTGCAAACCACCAGTGCTACAGTGGGCTACAGAACATGAAAATAAACCAAAAATGAGACACCTTCCCCTGGAGGTCAGGGTCTACTCTAGCAGCAGTCTGGTACTTCAGCCACTGCAAACAGAAATCTCAAAAAAAAATAAAATTAAATAAATAAAAACCCCAAACCAAACACCAAACAAACTTTTAGCTAGAACATGCAGACCAGAGTATTTAGGGTTAAAGTTTACTCTCAAATCCATTACTTTTGTAAATTACATTTAATCTCCAGTGGGAAGCCAGAAGCTAATGACTTAGTAAAAAGCCCAGGCAGCCTCCATCATTCCCATTTCCACGTGGAATACTACCAGTGCTAATTTATCCTGCTGTGCTTCTGATTGCCCTCGTCCCCCTTCACTTCCAGATCAGCTCACCACTCACCGGCAGGCTAGAAGGTCTGGACTGAAGATTCAAGTTCATATCTTCTTGCCCTTTACTGGAAGCCATTGAGGGAGCAGATGATGCCTGGGACCCAAATGAGTCTTGAGATAACTCCTGAAACATCAAGAAACACCAAAAAAAAAAAAAAAACACACACACACACACACAAACGGGAATAAAATAAAGACTCTGCTGGAACCACTCTGGTGTATTCTCACATTGTGGAAGAATTATGTACTCCCAGTGACATTTGCCCAAAACAGGAAATAAGGCAGCAAAGTGCTGGAGCCAGCACGCCCACTGCTCTGCAGGAGGACAAACACTGCTGGACAGGGACACAGTGCTGGGAGAAGTCATCTAAAACATGACAGAACAGTAATTCTCTGCCTTTCCTTTATTACAGATCTTAAAGAACAGAGGCTGTCCTGGGAGAGACTGCTCACTTAGCTTCTTGACCTTCTAACATCTTACGAGCTTTAAGTACTTCATTACACAAACAAGGCAAATGATTTCAAATCATCCACTTCTCAAAATCTACCTTAAACGCATTGCAAGGTTTGCTGGAAGGTCCCAGCCAGTTTTTCACTGTTAAAATATTATTACACCTTGCTGAAAAGAAATGCAATCTATGAAAAATAAAATAAATTGGCTTCATGATCTTATCTTCAATCCCATGCACTTGCTGCTTTATTTCTCCTCCTCAAAGCCAAGTTTTACACTGAAGAGCAAACTCTTTTGTCACCATCTACGTGTCACTCCGCAAACTGCGTTCTGCTATTGTGCTGAACCAAGGGGCTCTGGAGACCACCTGGAGAACTTCTGCAGGCCACAGCATGAAAACCATTCTGCTAGGAAATCCTTTAGACTGGTATTGCCAATGAGCAGCATTTACTCCACACTAGTCTCCAGAACTGCAGTTGTTAGCCTGGCTCAGCCTGTTACCACCACAATATCTCTCTCTAAGAGATACAGATCTGAACACAACAGAGAAGGCAGCACTTCTATCACCATAATCATTCCAGCCAGCTTGCTGACGTGTAGTTCAACCAATTTTAATGCACAAAGGAAAGGATTTGCCCAAATTTCTTTAAGAATTCCTTACAGAAGGCAAGCAAGCAGGAGACAGCCTACCTGAGGAGGGGGGAAGCGCTGCTGGGAGTACGCGGACTGCGGCGGCTGCGACTGGGGGTATGAGGAGGACTGCTGTGAAAGAGCTGAGGAAGCCGTCTGCTGGGTTTGCTGCTGCTGCTGGTAGGGTGACTGGGACTGCTGCTGGGAGTAGGGAGGCTGGCTCTGTTGGTGCTGCTGGGCCGTGGACTGCTGCTGAGGGTAGGGAGTCGGGGACTGCTGATGGGGCGGCTGGGACTGCTGCTGAGAATACGCGGGCTGCGATGTCTGGAGTTGGGGAGGTTGAGACTGAGGCTGTTGCTGCTGCTGATAAGAAGGCTGAGAGTGAGGGGTCTGGGATGGAGGCTGCTGAGAGTATGGAGGCTGCTGCTGCTGGGGATGAGGGCTTTGCTGGTTGTAATATGGAGTCTGGCTTTGCTGCCCATATGCACTCGGGCCCTGCTGTCCGTAAGGAGGAATCTAGAGGAGAAGAAGGCAAGAGTTAGGATGGTATTTTACATACACACACAGAGTTATGCTCAAGAACAACAAATTGTCACTACCTAGGCACTCCCCAGACAACAGCTGAAGTCACCTGTATATGACATCATTCTTGGTGGTACCAAAATGTTAATAGGAACCATAACTAAGTTTTTAGGGATCCCCATCTGACCACTCTTCAATGACAGCAACACTCAAAGGAAAGACTGCTTGTTCAAAAAAGAAAAAGGCAAATGAACAAACAAGGCAGCCTTCTGAATCCTGCAAACAGTCCAGCAGGAGCCACTTGGATCATGTAATGAGCCAAAACCAACCTAAAGTCCTTTCTTCTGCAGAAGAGCTATGTCTTTAACAGCACACAGAGGAAAGAACATCTCACTCCCCTCACTGTTTGTTTTTCCCATGTTTGATCCACTGCTCTGCCACTGCCTCCCTTGGAAGCAAGGATTCCACAGGTACATGGATCACACCTGGATCCACAGAGCCTTAAGAAAAACCACTCTACCAAAGCCATGGACTCCAGCACAGCTGGAGGTGGTTCCTTCAGAAGACACTGAGGCTCTTCTGCCCCTGCTGTAAACAGAGACTACAGAAGTTTGGGTGCTCTACCTGTTGTGCATATGAGATGCTGCCCATTGTACTTTGTGTCCTGCTTTGCATTCCCATGGGGTATCTCTGGGGAGTCTGTGGCCCATATGGCTGTCCTGGGTAGCCGTGTCCTTGCTGGGGCCCAGCCTGAGGTCCCTGCTGTTGTGTGTATGGGTTGTTTCCTCCATAGGGCTGAGGTCTCATCTTCCCCATCTGATCCATTGGGCTTGAAGGCTGCAAAGCAAGTTGTGACACACCATGTAGATCCAGCTGCACATTGGAATTGTTCACAAATTCCCCAAAACCCCAGAAGAGAACCTCAACAGGTTGGCGCAGAGCAGCAGAAGCTCATCCCTCCCTTCTCTGGTGCTAAGCCCCAGAGTTACAGTCTGAATTACAGGAGGATTCCTGCTAGGATGCTTCACAAAGAACAAACCCAGTGAGAAGTCTTTTGACACTGACATATCTCCTGTGGCCAGAGGACAGGAAAGAAGGGGAGAAGGATCATTAAGGAAGATCAAGTACCAGTGTGAGTGGCTTTTCCCCACAGTACATAGTAGTTTAATATCCAGATATTCCACAACAATGAAAACTTAGGCTGAAGATTTAAATATTCACAGAAACGCTGCCTCTTTCACATGTAACAAGGTCTCCCAAAACACTACAGGCTGTTAATTTACACTTAGACATTTCAATTAATCCACAGTGATGTAGTAATACTGGGCAGTGCTGCTGACATTCACAGCATTCAAGGCTGCAGTTCCATTTTTGCATATATACATGGATTTTTTTACATGTGCTTTGTGTCTGCTGCCCTTTGTAGAATAAAGGTTTCTAAATGCAGTTCTTTCAGATGCATGAAAACAAAACTGTCAGCCTTGAAAGTCAGGTCCCTGAGTTTTAGAGCAGACACGATGAGACGAGTGAATCAACACAACTTTCCTGGGACCTCCTGATCTGAGCTACCCCTGCCTGAAATCGAGACACAAGAAGAGTCAACCAAATTTCCTAAAAATACCATATACCTCCAAAGAGAGTCTTCCCACCTAGGCAGGTTGTTTTGCAGAGGAAAGCAAGGACTGCTTGGGTAGATCTCTAAATGAATCTCAGGCACAGTCTTTAACCTCCATCCCTCAGACAGAATAAGAATTGTTCACTGATCTCCTGATGACCTAACTAATACCAATTAGATGTTTTTCACCAGATCACCATGACAATGGACTCTCTATTACACCATTCCTTCCTGCAACTAGCCCTAGGGTGGTATTTGTACAGATCCACCCTCTCTTGCTGAGATCAGGTGCTTGAGGAGTGGCACTACAGGCCTGCACAAGCAAACATCACACAGAGCCAGCTCCTGCTGGAAACCCAAAACAATCCTGGAGACCAGAACAGTGTTTCACTCATGTTTGCAGAATCCACCCTCCCAGGAGGAAAAAAAAAAAGTTCGTGCAGTATGCTACACTTCAGAAAATCCTACCCCAGGAGCCAGCACAGCTTGAAGTCCCAACACACAGACCCTGCAAGCATTTGTTTGACCAGCTGTCTGTGGTGTCTGGGCTGCCAGGCGAGTCGGGGCGCCCAGCCCAGCCAGCAGGCAATGCCTCAGGGGAGCTGGGCCACAGGGGGACTCCAGGGGAGCTGGTGGGATGAGTACCCCGATTTTGGTAAGGGGGACACCTGCTCAGCTGAAATCGGGCTCCCTTAGGTCACTTCATAGAATCACAAAAGGGTGGGGGGGTGGGAAGGGACCTCTGGGGATCATCTCATCCAACCCCCCTGCTCCAGCAGCTCACCCACAGCAGGG